GCAGCTCCCTCCTCGCCAGCTGCTCCACGTGCTGCTCCAGCTCCTGCAGCCGCCTCCAGAAGTCATCCAGCTCCGTCCTGCGCGCAGCCGGCTCTCAGGGCCCCGCCGCGGGCACCAAGGCGCCCTGCACCGCGGGCACCACGGCGCCTGCCCCAGCCCAACGCCGCCCGCTCACCTGGCGTCGTCCAGGCGGTCGCCCAGCTCTCGCAGGAGCGGGGAGCCGGGGCCGTCCCCGCGGGCGAGCAGCTGCCCCAGGCGCCCCAGGGTGTCCTGCAGCGCCCGCAGGCGCTGGGGGCTCGGCGCAGGGCCGCCCTCGCGCAGTGCCCGCGCCTCGGCGCGCAGCCACTGCAGCCCGTCGCGCAGGGCGCCCAGCGCCGGCTCCCAGCGCCCGAAGCAGGGGTGGCAGGGCGGGCAGCGCGGGAAGGCGTCCTGGTAGCCCCGCTGGCAGCGGTCGCAGCGCGGCCCCCCGAAGCCCTCCCGGCACTGGCACTGCCCGCTCTCGGGCTCGCACTGCGGGCTCGCGGCGCCCAGCGGCTCGCACTCGCACGCTGCGGGGACACGCGCCATCGTGCCCCGCCGCCACGCTGTGCCCGCTATGGCCGCGGTGACCAACAGTGTCCCACAGGGTCCCTCGTGTCCCTGGGAACCCACTGTGATCCCTTTGAGTCCCATAAAGTCCCCAGGGTCCCGCCATGTCCCATTTCCCATGTCCCAATGTCCTCCATTTCCCACCATGTTCCAAGGGAGATCCCAAGACCTCAGCATCCCACCATGCCTCCAGATCCCACTATCACCCCAAGGACCCTCATGTCCCCAGGGTCCCACCATGACCCTGGGGATTGCCACTACCTCAGCATCCCACCATGTCCCCAGGCCCCTGTGTCCCCAGTTTCCCACTACATCCCCAGGGAACCCAATGACCCCACAGATGCTCAAGACTGCGCCATCCCACCGCATCCCAAAGCCCCCGTGTCCCCAAATTCCCACCACGTCCCCAGGGTCCCACCTTGTCCTCTTGGTCCAGACGCCCACATCCCCAGCACCTCCTGCACCCCCAGGCCCCCCGTGCCACCAAGGCCCCTCCTTTCCCCATGATCCCCATCCCACAGACGTGCCCTGTCCCCAGAGCCGCGGGCGCGCTCCCACCTCGGCACTGCAGCGCGGGGTCTCCCCAGTGATTCTCCCGGCACTGGGAGCAGTCGCGGCCGCCGAAGCCGGGCCGGCAGTGGCACTGCCCGGTGACCTGCAGCGGGCGCCGGGCGCTCAGCCGCGGGGCGACGCGGCCGCGGTGCCGGCGCCCGCGGGGCACTCACCACGTCGCAGGCAGGGTGCAGCGCGTGCGTGGGGTGGCAGCCGCAGGGCTCGCAGCCGCCCGGCGCCCCCAGGCCCCAGAAGTGGGGCGCGCAGCGGTCGCAGCTCTTGCCCAGCACGTTGGGGCGGCAGGCGCAGGCGCCCGACGCCCGCTCGCAGGAGCAGGCGCCCGCGGCGCAGTGCGAGGCCAGCGTCCCGCGCGGGTCGCAGCCGCAGCCTGCGGGGCGGGCACCGCGTGGGCCGGGGCGCTGCTGGGGGCGGGCAGGGCGACCCCAGCCCTGGCATCTCTGCCCCCCAGCACTGCCTCCAACCCGGGACAGGGTCCTGAGCCCACACAGCCCTAACCCCTGCACGGCCCCAGGCCCCCCACAGCCCCTACCTCTGCATGCCCCTGAGCCC